GGTTAAGTCCTAACACCCAGTACTCCAGAATATGAGGCCACTGGGAATGGGATTGTTGCAGATGCACTAAAGTTAAGATTGAGGCCACACTGAAGTAGGCTGGGTTCTTAATCCAATATGACTGGTACCCTCACAGGGAGAAGGAGCTTTAGACAGATAGAGGAAGATGGCCCTTTCCAGACAGAGGCAGAGATTACAGCAATGCTACCCCAGGCCAAGGAACATTTGGGCTATCAGAATCTGGGAGAGGAAAGGAAGAATCCTCCCCTAGAGGCTTCAGGAACAGCATGGCCCTGCAGATACCTCCATTTCAGACTTCTAGCCTCCAGAACAATTTCTGTTGTTGGAAGCCACCTACTCTGTGATACTTGTTAGGACAAGACAGCTCTAGGAGACTGACACAGTGTGCCTTGGCTCCAGGCTTTCTGTGTTCAACCATATAGAAAAGAACACCAGCCAACATAATCAAGACATCTTAAAAAACAAAGCAGGGTCAGCACCTGTAGCTCAAGCGGCTAAGGCGCTAGCCACATACACCTTAGCTGGTGGGTTCAAATCCAGTCCGGGGCTGCCAAACAATGACAGCTGTAACCAAAAAATAGCCTGGTGGGCGTTGTGGCAGGCGCCAGTGGTCCCAGCTACTTGAGAGGCTGAGGCAGGAGACTCACTTGAGCCCAAGAGTTGGAGGTTGCTGTGAGTTGTGATGTCACAGCAGTCTACCCAGAGAAATAGCTTGAGGCTCTGTCTCAAGAAAACAAACAAACAAAGCAAAATATTTGGGACATGTAGGCTTCCACTTAGATTGCTCTGTTGTTGTTTTTGAGACAGGGTCTTGTTCTGTCACCCACACTGGAGTGTAGCAGTGTCATCATAGAACTTAGCAACCTCAGACTCCTGGGCTCAGGTGATTCTCCTGCCTCACTTCCGAGTAGCTAGGACTACAGGAACCTGCCACCATGCCCGGCTCATTTTTCTACTATTTTTTGTAGGGACGGGTCTTGTTCTTGCTCAGGCTTGCTCTGCTGTTGATTACCATTTTGTATAACCAATGAATACATCATTTCAATTTAATTACCTTACGGTGCTCTGCTGATGAGATGGATAAGACTGAATTAAAAAACCTCTCTGGACATGAATCCCTTACTTTTTTCTTGATTGTTTTTATTTTTTGAGCTTTTAGGTTTAAGAATAAGAAGTCTGATGAGCACTTCACTACCCAGCTTCCAAAAAGAAGAGCAAAGAGCACAGAGAAGCACTACACTGGCTCTGCTGAATCATCTGGGGAAATATCACAGTTTCTGCCCTTGCAAAAGGGAAACTTTAGATTAGTGACTGACTTTTTCCCCATAGCAGACTTTTTTTTAGAGACGGTCTCACTTTGTCACCCTGGGTAGAGTGCCGTGGCGTCACAGCTCACAGCAACCTCTAGCTCTTGGGCTTAGGCGAGTCTCTTGCCTCAGCCTCCCAAGTAGCTGGGACTACAGGTGCACACCACAATGCCTGGCTATTTTTTTGTTGCAGTTTGGCTGGGGTCGGGTTTGAAGCTGCCACCCTCGGTATCTGGGACCAGCGCCCTACTCACTGAGCCACAGGTGCTGCCCCAAGCAGAAAACTTTTATTATTCAAAATCTTACTTAGAATCTTAACAGATGATCAAAGTGGGGTTACTGTGTATAAGTGGGGACAGGGCCCAGAGCTTGCCCTTGGTTTACCTAGGCAAGTTTACCTGTTTACTCCTCCCTTCCTTGCAAAGCCTGCAAGAGTCTCCTACACTTCTCTAAATCCTCTTTAAATAAGCTTAACTTAGATTCTTGGCATATAATATAGGCGGTGAGAAGTTTGTCCTGAAGTTATCAGTTACAGGAATACCTAAGTGTTTCTGCAAGGGGATATTCACCAACAAACGCAATTTGCAGAAAAGAATTCACTATAATCTTTACAAAGGGATTTCTTTTTCTATCAATCCAAGAGATAATCTGAAAAAGCAATGGAAACAACTAAAAGAAACTGGATAAAATAGAGGTCATCCTTCTTAAGCAGGACAGGAATTTCTAACAAGGAACTAAGAGCTCCAGAGCTTGCCTATAAAACAAAAGAAGCATTCTCAATAATGACAAGGTATAGAAAGCCATGAATAAAATCCAGCAGAGCACATGCTGGAAACTTGATCAAGACATCATATACTTTGTGAGAGGGGTTTAGAGAGATGATCACTTCTGTCCAGAGAATGTGTGAGGTCATCTTTTTAAATGCATCCATAAAGGGGCAAGAAAGGAAGTGCAGTGGCAAAAACATCAAGGAAAAGCGGGAACTCTAAGAAAGCACCAAAGATGGTTCTGACCCCAGGATAACTGCACAATCTTTCTTTTTTCTTTTTTAGAGACAGAGTCTCAAGCTATTGCCCTAGGTAGAGTGCTGTGGTGTCACAGCTGACAGCAACCTCAAACTCTTGGGCTTAAGCGATTCTCTTGCCTCAGCCTCCTAAGTAGCTGAGACTACAGGT